ATGTTGGAAAACCAAGGAAATGTTGGAAAGGGACATAACTAAATGATGCACAAGGAGTGGTAACAATAGTATCATGCCCAACAGTATACTGAAAGTTCAAGTGCATGGATATGGAGAGAGGCTCTTCCTGGTTCTGTGTACTGTATATAAAATAGATGATCAGGGATGCTCCCCAACAAGTGGGGGAAGCAGAGGTGAAGAGTAGGAGGTCCAGGTTGGGTGGAGGTAATGGAACACTGATGGTGATAGGAGATCAGTATAGTCACCCATACAAATACTAGAATGGACGAAGGGACAAGAGAAACATTGAGGTCAAAGAATCCCATGGGGCATCCCACTGGTTGCACGAAGATCAACTGAGGAGATACATTTGCACATGACCCCAAGGAATAAGCAGTTCACACAAAGCCATGGAAACAAAACCATACACTCACAATGATTAAGACAGGTAGAATCCTAATAACAGCAAGGTCCAATAATCACAAGCAGATGAGAGGAGGCTGACTATAGCTGAAAATGAGTTGAAAAACACATTCTCAGTGAATAGGATATTTATTGGGAGTGAAGAACTGGTGAAAGTAGTAACAAACACAGCCTTGAAGAGACATTAGACAGAGATGGGAGAGAAAGAAGGATGATGGCTGAAAGGAGGAAGGTAAGAGAAGGGGAAAGAAAGTCTGTGGGTAAAATGTAGAAAAACCCTTGTATGGGTGGAAAAGTGTGACCATAGTAACTCGAACCATGACAGATGGGCACTCATAAGACCTGAGACGATGGAGACTTATGAGCTTGAGGGACTGATGCCAGGTAGAAGAAGAAGATGAGAATAAAAAAACAGGGAAGCAAGGTAGGAAGATGAGGTACAATGGTGGTGGGTAGGGTTGGGAACAATGTGGAAATAATGTATAAAAGCAAAGATTGATGATGGGCAGCCACAGATCATAATTCAATCAAATTGGAAATACATCCAAACTTCATGGCAAAGAAAGGGCTTGAAGAATGGAATAAAGAAATTGAACTTGGGATAGTATAGTACCTATTATCTTAATCCCTATTCAGCAATCTCCAGTAACAAGAAGACAAAAGAGCAGGAAATGGAGAAAGGGAATGGCTACAGTAGAGAAGTAAAGGACATAAAAATCACCTGCAAAATACTCTGGGGCACAGTGGAGTGCCTCAGACATGAGGTATAGAGAGGAGAGGCAAAGATATGTGGTGAAAAGAATAAGCAAAAGATGGTAGTGCCAAGGAAAAAATGAGCCCATGGTATACCAACATGCTCAACAGGAGTACAGCACATGGTAAATGCATTGCCCTCCTATTGGTGAAGGGCTACAGCAGGGGTTGGCAACATGCGGCTCTTTAAGGAGACTTTTTGCAACTCTCAGGCTATCTGCTGTGTCCACTGAGGGGAATCAAATCCTTGATTTTAGCATTGTAAAACTGAAGACTTACCGCTGTCCCACCAGGACACCTTTTTCTTTTTTTTTAGGTTAGACTGTTAGAGCATATTGCAGCTCTCAAAATGTTTTGGTCTTAGACAAAAACAAAAAATAGCCCTTCTCCTTTCTAGGATTGCCAACCCCTAAGCTATAGTTTAATGCTCATTGCATTACAAATTTGTGCAATACATGATATTGTGTGTAAAGGTGGGAATTTTATGTAAAAGGATGCTAGATGTGCAAAATCTTTGGCAGTGCAAAAATAAAATAAAAATTTACTTGTCCATTATACTATATATAATGCAGCTTATCTTCATACCACTCACTGGACTAAAAAAAAATATACATTCAAATCAAATTATAATTCTGTCTCAAATTTAGTTATCTAAAAAAGAATTTCATATTCATTCATTTTTGGTCATACTCTGTAAAAAATAAATGTCTCATGTCAATACCAAGTACTAAGGATGAGAAGAGGCAAAGAAAAAAAAAGAAGAAGAAAGATCTTTGAAAATTAGAAGCTCCTTGACATATTATCCTGTCTTTATTAGTGGATATAAAGGGAAAAGGTTTTAAGTGGGAATTTGTTACAGACTACCAAATGATACTGATGAAGTTAGTGAGTAATTTTACAATGAGATTAAGATTTCAGCTGTTAATGAAGTTAGAATTATGGGTGATTTTAATTTCAGACATATAGATTGGGAAATGCTAGAGTCAAATCATGAGGGAGAAAAGTATTAGGAGACTGTTCAAGATGGCTTTCTTCACCAATTTGTCAATGAACCTACTAGAAATAATGCTATTTTAGATTTATTGTTAACTTCAAATATAGAAATGATCAAGAAGCTGGAAATTGGGGAAGATCTGGGTGCAAGTGATCATTGCTCTATTAGGTTCAATGTTTTACTAAATATGGATATAAGGAATAATGATACTTTGTTTGCAAATTTCAAAAAAGCAAATTTTGAAGGGATACAACAAGAATTATTTATTGTCAATTGGGCAGCTGAGTTATTTGGAGACGCTGATCAGATGTGGAAAATTTTTAAAGATAAACATTTAAATATTCAATATAAACATATTCCTTAAAGAAAGAAAAGGGTAGCTGCAAGTAAGAAATCAGGTTGTCTCACAAAGAATTTAAAAAATAAAATTAAAGAAAAGCATAAGAAATTTAAATTGACTGGTATGACATGAGATTTACAAAATTACTGAAGATCAAGAAAGTTGGTGAAACAGAAAATTAAGACATCAATAATGATGTATGTAAAAAGATTGGTTGAGAATGTAAAAATTAACAGTAAGGATTCTTTTAAATACATTAAGGGTAAACAAAATGTTAGGATTTGGGTAGGACCCTGGTGGGGTGATAAAGTAAGGCTAATATCTGATGGTTATGAGATGGCTAGATTATTAAATTTTGCTTTTTCTCCAGTGTTTACTAATGAAGATTTAAGCAGTATTCCACATCTTGAACAGTTGATAAACAGAAATGAGTTCAAACAAGATGACTGAATTAATTCTAAGCTGGTTAAGAAAAAA